TCATGCGGCCAGAGCACTCAGAGCATCCAGAGCTTACTGGGAGACAAATGGGAGACAAATGGCAGACAAGTGTGAAATCATGCGGCCAGAGCACTAGAGCATCCAGAGCTTACTGGGAGACAAGTGGGAGACAAGTGTGAAATCATGCCAGAGCACTCAGAGCATCCAGAGCTTACTGGGAGACAAGTGGGAGACAAGTGGGAGACAAATGGAAGACAAGTACGAAATCATGCGGCCAGAGCACTGAGAGCATCCAGAGCTTACTGGGAGACAAGTGGGAGACAAATGGGAGACGAATGGGAGACAAGTATAAAATCATGCGGCCAGAGCACTGAGAGCATCCAGAGCTCACTGGGGGACAAGTGGGAGACAAGTGGGAGACAAATGGGAGACAAGTATAAAATCATGCGGCCAGCGCACTCAGAGCATCCAGAGCTTACTGGGAGACAAGTGGGAGACAAATGGGACAAAAGTATAAAATCATGCGGCCAGAGCACTCAGAGCATCCAGAGCTTACTGGGAGACAAGTGTGAAATCATGCGGCCAGAGCACTCAGAGCATCCAGAGCTTACTCGGAGACAAGTGGGAGACAAATGGGAGACAAGTGTGAAATCATGCGGCCAAGCACTCAGAGCATCCAGAGCTTACTGAGAGACAAGTGGGAGACAAGTGGGAGACAAGGGTGAAATCATGCGGCCAGGAACACAAGCCCGGAGACAAACTCAAAATCATCCGGCCCGAGCATGCACCCCTTTAAAAGGAGTAAGAACCCCTCACAGGTAAACCTGTTTGGGGAATGATGCATTCTTCCTGCATCTCTTGGCATCTCTTGGCTGCTGGCAATGGTTCCCACTCATCGTCAACACCAAAGCAGAACCTGGCTCCAGTAGGAAAGCCATACCAACATCTCCCGGACTTTAACACGTTCTTTGTTCATCAGTCTCTAAGCTTCTGACGACTCGGCGCCACCAATCTTCAGCCGCATGAACCAGAAGACAGCGAAAAGGGCACCCATCTGAAAACAAAAAGGAGCTAAATCAGGAAGTGCAAAACAAGTGTTAAAGTATCACTATAATCATGAGACTTACTCTAGGTAAAATCTTTCCTGCGGATCAAGTTAGGAGATAAGAT